TCATGGCCCCTTAGGGTCTTGACAACAAGCCTCCTGTGCTTATCAAAGTCACCTTTTCTAAAGTTTAGGACTTCTGACTGACTTAGTTCTCTGTAAATAACTACTACGAATATCAGATATTAGTATCAGAGAGGAAATGAAGCCATCATTTTGCACTCCAGCCCCACAGTACTCTAACCAGACAAAACCACAGCCAAGTAATGCCCTGTGGCGGTGCTCCTTTCTTTACATTTCTAGGCTCATCGCAGTGGAAGCAACTACCATAGGAGCTCCAGGAGTATATTTGCTAAATATTTAAAAGCATCTTTATTTGCACGAGTTTCTTAAACTGAATATAGATACCTATGTTTCCAATACTGTTAATCACTCAACACTATTTCAGTATGGATCATCCTGAAAGTTCAACCCACTGTCAACTTGTATTGGCTCTGATTAGGACCCAAAGGAAGCCCTGTGCATGGGCCAAGCTTTTGCTATGCTTTATCTTAGTGTAACTTAATACAGGGTCCTAAACTTTCTTCATTTTATGGTCACTTTTCCTTGAGGCCTTGAGTCCTATTATGGCTTTAATGATCATAACTACACTGATATCCACACCTATGATTCATTTCCAGTCTTTTCTAGCAAAGATACACACAAGCAGATACCAACATCTGAATGGTTCCCAAGGTTTTGATACTGACGTCCTATAAGATGGAATCTTTATGAATTGGGAATGAAATTCTGTATTCTACCTTTAGAGTTGCATTTATGGAAATTAATTTGCATCAGAAGCCAAGAATTTAGCTGTTGGTTTTTAATACTGGCTTGTCTTACCTTTGAAAACAGTAAAATAGAGTATGTCATTATGGATTATTTGTTCTCAATATTCATAAATACTTAATATTTCCTGTGTTTTAGCAGCTGAAAATCAGAATCTTAGAGAAGTAGGGCTGGAAGGGACCTCAGAGGTCTTTTAGTTCAAAACCCTGCCTGAGGGCAGGATCATCCCTATCCAAACCATCCTATACAATCCATAATCTAAACTCTATATAACACTACCATCAACCCTGACAACTCAGACCTAACACAAGACCTGCCTGCTGCAAGTAAAGCAGGAGAAACACAGCAGCCAATATCTTGCTTCTATGAAATTTTGACAATACGTTGTCAAGAGATCCCAGGTAGAGGGCTCTTGCAATTTCACTTTTCAGTTACAGCCGTATGATTCTAGGAAGTTTTCCTGGCCATTCAATCTTTTTTTTAATTAGTTTAAAATACATGTTTTACTGTCTCTATTCTTTATAGCGTTCACATTGCAATGCTTCTTGTTCAAATGTAATACAGACTAGCACTTTTATGGATTTAAGTTCAGGGGTATTTTGTTTCTAAAATTTACCACTTTACAGCTCCCTATAGATTCGTCTTGTAGGACGTCAATCTCTGGCTCTGTCTCCACTACAAACACAATAGCGCAGGGACTACACTCACAACATGAGTCAATTACAGGGACTGCTCTGTAATGGACAGACACGGTATTTTGTAACCAGTCTAAGGTGGTGGATGCATCAGGAATTGTGAGCTAGACAATCTGTTGGGTCTTGCGTAATTTCCAAATATAGTTCATTCTCACAGCTCGTCTTGGTGGCTTGAGAGCATACTTCATACGCAGTCGTGTAATTCACTCAGTGTTTTTAAAATTAGGTTTGCATGTCTTTTTTTCCAGTTCCTTTATAAGTGTATGTTCTATTGCTGTCCTGCATTTTCCTGTAGCATGGATTGAAAGGGCTATATAAAGATCAAATAAAAATAATCTTATTTTCCCACGCCGTTTTGGCACTCTTGGCAGATACTTGGAAAAAAACCGCATTTCTGACAATGAACCGCTAGGAACAAAAAGTCTTTTAAAGAAGAATAAAATTGAGCATGCATTTCCTCAGATACATTTACTCCCCCCACAAAAAACAAATACAGAGTTCACCCGTACATTAACCCCTGCCAATCTTATCTATTGTCAATGGATTGAAATGCAAAAGATTCTTCTTTGTCCTCACTGCCAGATAAGATTGTAATTTTCATCCTAATAAGCCGTCTCCTGATCTCCGGCAGAAATTAGTAATCAGGAACACTGGAGACACCCATAAGCCTATGAGATGATGATTCTGCCAAACAGCAAAGAAAAGGGATCTAACCCAATTTTAAAAGCTGCAGCTGATTAATTGATTCCATTACTCTCCTGAAACAAATCCAGTAAATGAAGGACAACGAACTCATTATGAGACCGCTTTCTAGGAAAGAGATACCTTTTAAAATTGTCTTTATTACAGCAGGTCTGGTTTAATTAACATTTTATTATTACAAAGAATAATAAAATACAAAAATAAGTGCCTAAATATTAATTGGGTTATTACGCTTATCAGGAGGAAAGACAACTACAGTTTTGATGAACAGGAAAGTCTAAGTTTAAATTCATGTTGGGGTATGTTACAAATTAAGATAAAACCTCATTCCTGGTTTAAGTAAATATGCAGGAACTGGTAAAGTGCCAACATGGAAATACGGTTACAATGGATTTACAATACTCCTTTAATTGGAGAACTTTTCCAGCAAATAAGAGTCCAGTCACAGACGCTGCCCCTCTGGTGTTATCTACATCTCACAGTTTTCACAGAGAAATAAGGCTTGAAGGAACCCTCCAGCAGCTATCTAGTCCAACTCCCAGCCTGAGGCAGGACCATCCCTATCCGTAATCTAAACTCTTCATCAACTCTCACACAAGACCTAACACCCTAACCTGCTGCAGTTAAAGCAGGGGAACCATAGCAGCCAATGTCCTGCTTCTATAAAAGGTTGTTAATATACATTCAAGAGATCCCAGCAAAGGGCCCTACCCACCGCTACAGAGGAAGGGAAAAACCCCCACAATCCATACCAACCTGACCATGGGGTAAAATTTCTTCTTGACCTGAATATAGCAATTGGACTAACCCCGAGCAGAGAAGCAAGAACCTCTAGCCAAGAACCTTTGGTTTTAAGTCCCAGCAGGAGCACTGACACACCCCAGTCCACATAGGCAACGTGTAGGGGGTGCATGGGGGTGCACACGCACCCCCTGAGAGTGCTGGTGCCTCCCCTGAAAGCAAGCACTCTCGGCTTAGGGCAGGGGAGCAGGCGAAGCACTGGTGCCTCCCCCCCACCCCCAGAAGTGCTGCTGGCACTTCTGGGTGTGCACTTCTGGGGTTGGCGCCTGGCTGCAGGGCAATCCCCCCCATGCCCCTGCGGACAGGTCCCCGCTCGGCCTGCCCTCACCGTTAATGCTTGCATCGCTGCCTGCAGGAGGTTGCCGTGCCCCCCCCAGCCTCAGGAGGCACGCGTCACCTATGCCAGTCAAAATCCCAAGCCTTGGCTGCAGCCAACACCCAATGCTTCTGAGGAAGGCTTAAAAAAACCTGATAAATGTAGCAGAAAGAAGAGAAGGGAGTAACCAGCAACTCTTCCTTTGCCAGCACCCCGAACCAAAACAATAAAGAGCTAAAATTTCAGGCTAGGTTTAGGGACATAATCCTCCACCTGAAGAAGAAACAGGTCATGTCTACATGAGACCCTGACTGCACAGTAGCCTGATACTACCGCACAATAGCATTATGTGGCAACAACCGTGACACTACACTACTGTCCAGTAGTATTAGGCTACTGTTTGGTAGCGTCACAAAAAAGATATTCGTCAGCACTACTATGCAGTAACTTGTGTTACTGCAAAGTCATTTAGGACTTGTCTATACCAGTACTAAATGAATGCACAGTAATGACTGCACAGCTAGTGTCTTATGTAGATGCGGCCACAAAGTGTTAGAAATGTCACCATGGAATTATTTGGCCGTAGGAAAGTACGTGGTGCCTTTTAAACTGCTTATATTAAGGCTAGACCTTTTTTCCTCGTTTGAAATCAAAACATTCAGCTCTGAGTGGCTTTTTAAAAGGTCTCTGACTATGCAGTAATGCCTATTTGCACAAAATGAAATATTTCAGTTCTCCCCGCATGTTTTTCCTTCACCAAAATAAAAGCCTCCCTCCTCCTCCCCCCTAGAGAGTAACTAATTTGCTGGCTTGGATAAATCTATGATCTGTTCAGTGTGGCATTTAGCCAGATTTCAGAAGGGCCATAATTACTGGAAGATCAGCCAAATAAATATGTTTTTAGAAATGGGGAACTACAGAGCAGCAGGTCAATGGAATTTATATTTGTAGAGCTGTTTTATTATCCTCTTGTCTCCATAAATTTGTAAGCATAATCCATTCCATCTCAGCTAGGTTTTGAAAGTAGAAAGATACCATTATATTGTGCACCTTGCTCCAAACTGTGAAACTTAAGTGCTTGAGAAAACATCAACTTGTGATTATAAGCAGGAATTGAGAAACAGAACTTCTAGGTTTTGCTTCTGAATCTGCCATTGCTTCTGAATTTGCATCTGAACCTGCACTACGAACTTTACAGTCATTTAATTTGCACAAACTTCAGTTTCCATCTGTGGTATGGATGTACTAATACTCAATTACTTCACAGGGATGTTGTGAGGCTTAATTAAGAGGTCTGCAAAGAGTGTTGAAATACAACAATGAAAGCTGCTATAAAGATGTTTTTTAAAATGTACAAACCAGGTTACAGATTTAATGTGCCTAAATTAATCTCTTACACTGCTCTGGAAAATTTCTAGCAGCATCAATTCTATTCAGTGCAGGTTGCTGCAGGGATATTTATACCTGCAGCTACTATTCATAGCCCTTTATGAGCCTGGTTAATTTGAAAGGGCTCTTTAAGAAATCAGCTGAGACTCAGCATCATTTCATGGAAGATATTTGATAAATAATTATTCTGATATTAGGCTTCAAGTTAAAATACCCTATGAAATTAAACAAAACCTCAAGTCTAGGAAATATAATCCTAGATGGTATAAAACCTGTTTTACTGTCATTATATTTCATGAGCCAAAACCTCTCCAAAAGCTTGGATAGCTTTAATTTGCCATCCACAGTAGACTTGGACAGTTTTCCAAAATTAAGTTTCCTCCTCATACTGTTCTGACTTCTTCCCCTCCCTACACAAACTTCCAGACCTGCACACTGGTTCATGCCAATAAGTGACTGCTCAGAGCTAAGACTGTGGTACTTCCAACTACTGGTGAAGTACGGAGTGCTGAACTATACCGGAGCTCATTTCCTCCCTCTGGGTAGTTAGGGAACCTGTAGCCAGTCATCCTTTACATTTTCATATGAAAACATGTATTTATTTAATGTTTACCTTTTCAATTTTCTCATCCAGCATTCTGAAGAATTCCTGTTGGCTTTCAGAGATGTGCATGCTGAAAAACATAAGGGAAAAATATTTCAGTATGCAGAAATATGTCTCTATTTCAAATGAACACATGCTTCCAGACTTGAGTCTCAGGTTTTAGGTTTCTAATGGAAAGCAACGGACTTTGTGCTTATCTATCTTTTGTCAAGAGTAACAACATCTGAGATAGAGTTAACTGTGTTAGCCTGAAGTCAGGAAGCAGATAAGGTAGATCTGCACCTTAGAGACTAACCAAATCAGAGATGTGGCATAAGCTGATGAAACATATAGCTGATGAAGTGAGCTTGAGCTCATGAAGGCATATGCTTTACATCTGATTTAGTCAGTCTCTAAGGTGCAAATCTACTGTGCCTTCAGTAATAGGTGCCATATCCAAAATGCAGAGAAACTGCCCTTTCAACCCCATAGCAGTGTCAGGAGTTAAATACCAAATATTGCTGAGCCAGCAGGAGAAAAACGCTATGTGCTACTTTTCAGGGTTGGACCCTTAGATAACCAACCTGGTATCTTTTAGATCAGCAGAAGACCTGCAGTATTAATGCTACACACATTTAAGTTTTAGAAATGGTGTGTGTCAAGAGCAGACCGTGTTGCTTCAGCATCTATCCTCCTGTTTAATGCAGATGTCAGGACCGAATATTCAGCTGCATACTTCACAGGCAGTGGGTGGGCTACTGAAATACAGATGGAAACCTTTGGGCTGAAGTTAAAAGTTTTTCCAAAGCTGCAAAGGGTATCGCGACACCAGTCAGATACCCACAGTGTGACACTGCAGTTTAGTTTATAACTTTACAGATCTCACTGTAGAGCTCAGTCTTGCTATAGTCATGCTCTATGGTAAATAGTTGGGTATCTCTAGTACAAACTCAGTATTTTTTCCTTTGAGATGAGAGGCTTTCATTGCTGTCTCAGAAGATACTTAGCTACTTCCATTAACTCTGCAGCCCCAAAAGGCTCAAGGGTTAGTGATCCTATATTCTATAGTAGTAAACAGGGTTAGGAAAATACTGTTATTAGCTATCTATACAGCACTGGCAGTGTGCTCATGTGGTATAAGACACGAAAGGAGCCAAGCCCTGCTCCAAGGGAAACTTACAGTATGGAAATACAGAGTGACCAGATGAATAAACAGGACAAGACAGCTCAAAGGATGGTATTTAGAGGGTTTTGTTGTTTGTTTGCATTTTAAATAGGCCTGATGAGGAAAGCATCTTTGCTGACATGATTGGGCCTCTCTGTGGAAGTCAGAGAAGGAGTGAGATTTCAGGTGAGATTTGAATGAAAAGAAGAGCTATCAGGGTGTCTAGCACATTGGGGTGAGAGGACAATGACAGGCACTGAATGTAGCAGAAAAGAATAGCAAGAGGAGATAAGGGGAGAGCAATGTAAATCTGATTCATGGTGTTAGGGGGGTACTTGGTAGCTGTGTTGGCCTGAGACAAAAAGACATACCAAAAACTAGAACTCATGGTTCCAAAATGATACCTTTTATTAAATCAACTGGAAAATTTTCCAGTTGGTCTAATAAAAGGTATCATTTTGGAACCAAGAGTTCTAGTTTTTTGTATGTCATTCATGGTGTTAGACAGTTAAGGGACTCTCTGGGCATGGCTACAGAAGACACTTACTGCATATTAGTCTAATAACACTGTGCAGTAGCGTGGCGGTTAAAAACTGTGCTAATAGCCTACTGTGCAGTGTTATTAGCCTAATGTGCAGTAAGCATCACAAAATAACCATGCACTGGTGCTCCTGCACAGTAACTCTAGTTACTGCACATTTAGTTAGTACTTCAATAAGCAAGTACTAAACTAAGTGTGCAGTATCTAAGGTGTATCAATGAACATGCAGACGTGCCCTCTAAGTTGGTAGAACCACCATTTAAATAGCAGTAAAAACTGATTCAGCTCACTGAATTCAACTTCCAGGTTCTCCTAGGTTCTCATTTTTTCCACCCAATCCTTTGAAATATAACAAAATTAGTGCCTCCTCTAAATGCTCAGTGATACAGTGCATTTCTAGCAAAGCCAGGCATACTCTCTGTATTTACTTTTGGAATGAGCATACCCAGTTCTCCGCTTATGCTGATGCCCTGAATGAAAGATCAGTTTGAAAGAGAAGTTCTTAGAGGAAAGCTAGAAGTTAAATTACAATCTAAATCAACTTACAGATCAACAGATCGTTTAAAGCAGTGCATTTTAAAACATGAACACTGTCAGTGTTTTAAAAATAAAGAAGAAAGGTTAGCTAACATCATGACTCTAATCCATTTTCAGTAACTGAGGCCTTGCCAAACAAGCCATCTTCAATAAAGGCTAGCAAATTCTAGTCTCGTACACCTAAACACTAACTTCTCTGTTAGAGATACAGCAGGCACATTGTGTTAATGTAGGTAGAAGTGTGACACTGATTTGTAAAGTGATGTAGCAATTTAGCTCCAGCAGATAGCCTCTTTGACAGAGACAGCCAGAGCGAAGCAAATGCTTCCATACCTAGCTCTATGATAGAGAATTTGAAATCCACCACACACAGCTCTTGAAATTTACAACTCTCAAAGTCTCAGTTTCTACCACGATGGCAAAAGATGTTTTTAAGATCCACCTAGGATGTAATTTTCAGGAACACTAATTGGCAAAAAGTCTGTATTGCTATGTGGATAAAAAGTTCAAACAAATAGCTTGTCAGAGTGCTAGAATCACTGAAGGTTTGCAAGTGTCACTGTTACAAGCCAGGAAAGCATATCTTGGCAATAAAATTACTCTTAGGAGTTAGAGAGAGAATGCGGATGGTGTATCCCTTCCTCAAGAAAATTCTTCTCACAAAATGAAATTTCTGTATAATCTTTTTATTTTGTGATCATTTTGTATTAAAGAACAATAAAGATCATAACAGGACTTGATGGCACTTGGCTGGATCTTCAAAGTTTCATTCTGATTTAATAAAAAAGAATTACTTCATAACTGAGAAATAATATTTTACAGAAATTTGGAGTACAAATCAGTACAATGTTATAAAATAATCTACCTCTTTTGTAATACCTCCTATGACCCCAAACCAGTAGAAATCTATGTATGTGAATAGTCTCTACATACATGATGTAGACTATTAAACACGTGTAAAGGTAGATAAATACACTTTGCATGATCTAGTCTTCATTCCACAAAATCCAAATTTTGCTATGTAGCCATGATCTGTATGATTTCTTACATACTTCTTTCAACAAATACTTTTTAAAAGTTTTAATTTGGAATGCCTAGCCTAGTTCTGTTTTGTTTTTTAATAAGTATAAGCAACATTTTGTAAAAAGTGCAGGTTTTATAGAAAGGCTAATGCTATTTTCTGTAGCTACCCAACAGATAGCAGTACATTTATTTTTGCAAAAGTGCAGCTGAACTTGTCCATATGGGCCAAAGTATTATCTTTCAAAAGTACATTTCTCTTTGGTAAATAGGAGCTAGATAGGCTTGATTTCTGCAAAAAAAATAAAAATAAATAAAAAATACATGCTTGATTTAAAAAAAAAACTAAATTAGAAGGAACAAATCTATGAACTCTTCCTCCTTTGGAATACCTGGCTGACTAATTTTTCCCTTTTAACTCAAACTGGTTGGTGCCTAACTAGCAGCTTCTATTGCTTTGCTCAGACTAGAGCAGGAGTGAGTAAAATACGGCCCACAGGCTGGAGCTGGCCTGCTAGCTGATTGGATCTGGCTTGCAGATGGGCACCCACCAATTGCATCTGGCCCAGCCCTTGGCTGACTCTGTTGTGCTTTGCATGGGGCCAGGTCCAGTGTGCTCCTGCCTGAGGCAATGCATGCTGTGCTCCCAGCCTCCTCTGCAGGAGGGCCCCAGCCCTGGCCAGTGGGCACAGCTTCAGGGCAGAGCTGCTGCTGCCACTGCTGCAGCCACCTGGGAGACTGCTGGGCTCCCCCGGCATCCAGTGACTTCTTCTCCAGTCCCTGCTGCAGCACTGAAGGCAGGGAGTACGGAGGGACAGCTGTGGCATTGAGGGGAGCGGGATGGAGGCAGGTTGTGCTTGCACCTTGCTTTGGTTCTGCTCATGCATGGCTGGGCGGGAGACTGCATAGACGGGGGGAAGGGGGGAGCATGAAGGAGCTTGGCTGTTCACAAAGCCTTGCTGGACAGGCAGGTGGGGTGGGAGCAACAGCAGCAGAAACAGGAGCCATTGTGGGCTCAGCTGAAGCCCTGCCAGGCAGGCATGGGACAGAGGCCAAGAGAGCTGGTGGCACCAGGCTTTGCTCCCCATAATCCCCCTCCTAGGGGCTTCCCTTGCTGCCTCCTGGCAGCAGCTGCTTTCCCACCCCTTTGCAGCAAGCTATGAGCCACGCAGGCAGTGCTGATCCTCCCCACCCCCACCTACGGAGGGTCTGGGCTCAGCCATGTCAAAGAGCAAGTGGGGGTAGGGGGAAGCTGGGCTGGGGGACAGAAGCCTCCCACACATGCACACCCAACCCACCCACATCCCCATCACATACGTACCCCCATCCCACACACATCATACACCCACCCCTCCCACACTCTCCATCCGCCATACCCACATCCCCCACAGACATACCCACCCAACCACATACTCCTCCGACCGCACACACCCCCATATATACCTCCCTCCTCCTCCCCCCTCACAATATACAAGAGTAAGACTGTTTTTTGAGCTATTATGCAATCGCCTCTATATACACTATACAAACTATATCGGGGGACGACCCAGTGAGTGATCTGACAATAGAGGGTAACTTAGGTGACAGTGACCACAACACTATCTCTTTCATTGTCCATCAAAGGCCTGGGAAATCTGTAAATAAGGTACAAATTCTTGACTTCAAAAAAAAACTGACTTCAATAAGCTAAGGACTTTAGTGAGTAATGCCGTATGGATCACAGGGAAAGAGTGTGAATGAAGAGTGGCTGCTCCTCAAGGACATGATCCTCGGTGCACAGTTGTCCATACCTGTATGCAAAAAAGGTGGCACAGGGGCCGGGAGGCCATCTTGGCTCAATAGGGAAGCTGCAGATCTTCTGAAAAAGAAAAGGGAGGCTTACCAATGATGGAAGCTAGGAACTGGCCCCAAGAAGAACTACATAAGATTAGCCCACACTTGTAGGGGGCAGATTATGAAAGCAAAGGCTGTAACGAACTTCAGGTTAGCAACCGAAATCAAGAACAATAATAAGTCCTTCTATAGGTGCATAGGTAACAGGAGGAAAACCAGTGGAAAGGTGGGACCACTGCTCAATGCATCTGGACATCTGATCACTGACACCAAGGAGAAAACTGAACTCCTGAACAAGTACCTTGCATCTGTATTCTACCAGTATAAGAAAGATAGCCTGCCAAAAGCAAATATGACACAGAATAGTCACAGTAGGGATGATCACTTAACAACAGTCAATGTACAGCTGGTGAAAGAACAGCTAAAGAGGCTGGATATCTATAAGTCAGCAGGACCGGATTAACTCCATCCAAGGATGCTGAACTAACTAGCCAAAGACATCACAGGACCACTGGCGACACTCTTTGAGAATTCGTGGTGCTGGTCCCAAAAGACTGGAATAGGGCAAATGTTGTGCTCATCTTCAAGAAAGGGAGGAGAGAGGACCCAGGGAACTATAGGCTGATCAGCCTGACCTCAATCCTTGGAACAATCCTCGAAAAATCTCTTAAGGAGTCCACATGTGATAAGCTAGTAGAAGGCAAAATTCTGAATGACAGTCAGTATGGCTTTGTCGCAGGTAGGTCATGTCTGACTAAACTAATTTCCTTCTACGGCCAGGTTATTCAGCACCTGGATAAAGGAAATGAGGTTGACGTCATTTACTTGAACTTGAGGAAGGCCTTTGACTTGGTGTCCCATGAGGCTCTCAGGGTGAAACGAGGGGACCACGGGCTCAACAATTCAATGGTCAGATGGGTGGGAAACTAGCTGCAGGGTCAGACCCAGGGAGTACCAATAGATAGATCTGTGTTGACCTGGTGAAAAGTAGGCAGTGGGGTCCCCCAGGGTTCAGTACTTGGACCAGTGCTTTTCAACATCTACATCAATGATCTGGATGTGGGGGTGAAAAGCTCACTGGCAAAGTTCACTGGTGACACTAAGCTGTGGGGAAGTATGGCCACACATCAGGGTAGGCTGACGATCCAGGCGGACCTAGACAGATTAGTTAGATGGGCAGACCAGAACCAGATGCTGTTCAACACTGAGAAGTGTAAAGTGCTCCATCTGGGGAGGAAAAATCCACAACAAACTTACAGGCTCGGTGGTGCTATGCTATGCTAGCTAGCACCACATCTGAAAGGGACCTGGGGAGTCATAATTGACCATAAAATGAATATGAGCCATCAGTGTGATGCTACAGTTAGCAGTGCAAACAATATGCTGGCATGCATCAACTGATGCATCTCCAGCAAAACTAAGGAAGTTATTTTCCCATTCTACTCAGCATTGGTGAGGCCACAGCTGGAGTACTACATCCAGTTCTGGGTGCCACGCTTCAAAAAGGATGTGGAAAAGCTTGAGAGTCCAGAGGAGAGCCACTCATATGATTAGCGGTCCTAAGAGCAACCCATTCAAGGAAAGGCTGAGAGATATAGAACTGGTCAGCCTAGAAAAGAGAAGTCTTTGTGGGGATTTGGTGGCAGTCTACATATATATCATGGGAGAGCACCAGGGGCCAGGTGAACAACTATTCACCAAAGCATCCCAGGCGAAAACCAGGAACAACAGTCATAAACTGCTAGAAGACGGTTTCAGATGGGATATAAGGAAAAACTTCTTCACGGTTTGTGTGACCATACTCTGGAATAGACTCCCAGCAGGAGTGGTGCAAGCACCTACCCTGGAGTTCTTCAAAAGGAGACTAGATGAACACCTTGCTGGGGTTATTTGACCCCTGCATCTTTCCTGCCCAGAGCAACAGGGGCTGGACCCAATGATCTCATGGGTCCCTTCCAGCCCTAAACTTCTGTGAATTTGTGAAACGTACATAAATCAGGACAAAAATATTTTTTAAATAAAATTAAGATATGTTATAGCAGATGTTTGATTTTTAGTATATAATTTGGGTTTTTTTCTGGTTCCAAGATGGCACCCCTCCCCCTGGAGTACTTCCACAGCAAGAGTAGGGACTTCTGGTGGCAAAGGTTAGGGGTCAGCGGCAGGATTTCCAGTCCCAAGATGGAGACCAGGGGACAGGGCACCTGTCAAGGATTGGGACTACCCTTGCAGCCCTTGACATCTCATTAAAACTCATTAAATCGGCCCTCCAGCTGGAATAATTGCCCATTAGAGTTTCTTTACATCCGTGAATCTGCTGGGACTAATGTTGACTAGGATTTAAAATAATGAAGTATTTCACCGTCTTGCAGACAAGTACATTGCTCCTAACTGAATGTTTCTTTGTAGTTATATCCGAAACACTTATATATTGTTAATTCATTAGGACTGAACTGAGTAATATTTTATGATGTGAAAATTTGCACAATGTACTTTGTATGCAGCAAGTTTAAGTTAATAAGTGCCCTAAAGGCATAGTATATCTGCAAAGAATAGTTTCTCCTTTATTGCTTAGAATGCAACAGTGCTTCATCACGTCATTGTTAACTACCAAATTTATGTCACTGTGTAATCTGTTATTTTCAATCCAATTAGTGATTAAAATGCAATGGTGATTTAGATAATAAACAAGTAACTAATACTGGCAGCAGCACTGTCACAAGAGGTAAATATGTCACGGCAGTACTGTGCATAATAATACTGACTGGTTTCAAAGCATATAGTCACAGAACATATCTAAGGGGTGCATAAACTGACTGCCACATAGCACACTGTCAGCATTTTAACAAATAACTTCATCATCTTAACTGGAAGAAGTTTAATTCCCAGATTTGACATGCAGTTTATCTACCAATCCAAGCCCAAACATTGGGCACAATCTCTTGGGACACCGTAACTAACATTTGTATGGGCATTTATGGATGTGCATACACAAATGTCTAATGGTAGCAGATATCTACTGCAGTGTAGTACCATGAAAAGGTGTGGCAAGGTCAATCTAGCCAAAGTGGAGGGAGGAGGGGGAAGAGGGAGGAAAGATCACATCTTTGAAAAATATACAAAGGACAGGGTTCTTAAAAGGTGCCAAAATTTAAACTGTGACCAAACTCAGTACTATGTTAGTAGTTCATCATGCCTCCCAGGTACTTCCATTTTTAATATAGTTATGCACAGAGACTACAGATCTTGGCATACCATGCTCCATCATGAGTGGAACAATTCTCAAGAAGATGCCCCTACAAAGTAAAAGTCTGAAGGTGGCTATATCCCTCTCCATTTTATAAAAATTTGATGTGACCGCTGATTTACGGGGGAGCCACTAAACAGCTTTCACTAGGGCAAAGTTTTATTTTAATTTGGCATTTATTTCTATTAAATTAGAAAATATAACTTACTTTGCTCGGGGTTGATGAACTAATCCTGGAATCTCTTTATTAGACTTAAGTCTTACATTTGAACTGGCACTTTTTTCCTGAAATACACAAAAACATTTTATATATATATAAGTATTTCTTGCATATTAAAAATAGGCATATTTGTCATAAGAAGTTACTCTGTAGTGCAGAGAGTGAAACTGCACAATCAAGTATATTAGCCATGAGAAAGCACAATCAAAAAATCTTAAAGGAAATGAAATTGGTATAACAATTCTGCAACAGGACAACCACCAACCTGTAGGTAAACTAATTAAAAATCAAGTATATTATGATGGGACTTATTACAATATATAGCCAGGTTACTGGGTAAAAAACCAGAAGCTTGTAGTAATTAAAACCTGTTACTATCTGATTACTGTTACACCTAATAGGCACATGATTATAACACAAGTGGCACTAACCCATGATGTTATCTAACTTTTAATGAGGTATCATAGCACAATACTGAATGCATGTAGAGACTGATATTAACCTTATAGCTCTAGGGGTTGACTACCCCAGTACAGGGTTAAGCAACATTAGTGAGGCAGCAGGTGGAAAAATTCAGCTATTAGTGCACAAGTCTTGTGGTTAAAGAACACCACTGTCTATTGGACTGTCTGTTCAGTAATCCCTTGAAAATGTTAAATTCACATACACACATAGCCTATGGCTGCAACCAGATGTTGCCTTTGTGCCACCATAAACATTTTTATGGAAGCACAAAACCTAAGCAAATGTTCTTAAACCCTCTGTCACACCACAAATACCCTCGTTTTGGGTTTAGACATGTCACCAAATGAAGCCAATCAGCTGTGGCAGGATGTGTTGTACCACAGCTGATCTCTTCACTGGGTGAAACATGCTGCCCATTTTTCCAGGGAATTGCCTGGGGTGCATCTCTGTAAGCAGGAAACACCAGCCTCCTCCCAGGACACAGCTCTGCAAGTGGGGAAAGCCAGGGCAGGTGCTCCTGGGGCTTACGGGGTCTGATCCTGCACAAGAATTTGTGGGCTGCTTGTGTTCTCGCGCCATTAACCAAACCAACATCTGCCACAACAGTGCCAGAAACTATTACCACCTTTGTCACAGACACCAATTTTGGGCATTTCTGGTACGATAACGGGAATGGACTTCTGTTTGCTTGACCTTTGTGCTACCATAAAAAAAATATGGCAGCACAAAGGCATTGTCTATTTCCACCTTTTGTGATGGTAATGACCCCGCTCATAATCTGTGCTGCCTTTTTGCAGCTGACCTCTGTTCCCTTATGGCAGGAGAGCAGGAAGTGCCTGCAATTACCTGCATTTTCCAGCCACCCTGAGCAGGAGCTCCTGTGGTTTCAGGGGTCCCATCCTGTGAGAAAATGGCCCCAAGGTGCCTCACCCTGACATGGGGCATGCAACTGAAAGCAGGAGTTTCCTGTTTGCAGGCAGGTGCCTCAACGTGGGGCTCAGCACCATGATCCACATGCTCAGGGAAACCCCACTAGGGAATTCCTGGGGCATGAGCTTGCCAGCACAGAGAGGGGGGACTCCCAACAGGGTGTTATTAACCACAGTTAATATACTATTAAAGTGCTAACAACACTCTCTTTCACCATCCTCCACCCTCACACAATCACTCCTGAAGCTCTCAAAACAAGGGTGGTTAAGAAAACAACCAGACATTTTAGGAGATGAAGTAATAGAAAGCAACACTCATTAAATTCTATTTGAATAAATTTCTTTGTTACATATTTACATTGAAGTCAAGTCAGCAGGAGCCAATTTTAAGGGACTGAACAGAATGGGGAAGAAAAAAAAGTTAAATGTGATTCTGAGGTAGGAGATTTTACCAATTCAGCCATAAAATAGTACAGAAAGGATCAAAGAGGTAAGTCGAGCAAAATGCTTACAGACAAGAACAACTGTTCTTTATGTAGATTAATAATAAAAAGAGCAAAACAAAACTTAGACTATGAGCCAATTCTTTAAGATAACACACTGTTTTCAATACAAAAAAATGCTATGAATTGAGACTTAGCATATAAGCATAATTACATCCTGAAAAACCTGTAAAAGGATATGGCCATCTTAAAATATATTATTAAAGCAATTCACATCAGAGAAATCTGCCAGTACAGATGGCATAGGACAGGGTCAAATTTTACATTCTATCAACTAAATAAATCAATCCAACTTCCTTGACATATTGTGACTGCAACCATTTCTGAAAAATGTGAACTAAAATTATTTTTTGTGATTTCTTCCTGGGGCTTTTTTTGGTCTGATTTAAAAATATATGAATAGATAAATCACTCACTTTAAAAAGACCTATGAGTTATACTTAAAAAGTGGGTTTGTGCATAGTTAACACTAGAACAAATAATTCCACAGAGTATAAGAATGACCCTCTCCTCTATCCTTGACACTTTTCTTGGTACAAATTGTCATTACCTTTCTGAAGCATTTGGAAGACTAGGCTATGCCTTACTTCAAAATAAAGTCAATACAATTTAGATTGACAAGCCCATACCCTGCCCTTTGGTCATACCTACATCTCACTAGTCATTGTATCATTGTATTACAATGAGTAATGGTGAGGCAATGTTGAAGCATCAAAATAAAAGATGCAGCCCACCTTCAGAATTCCCTTGCCACCATACCATCTTTTAATCTCGTTTTAATGGTGTTATTTATGCATGACTTTTTGCATGCATGTGCAATATGAGCAGATAAAGTTGTCAAGTGAAAGAAAAGAGAAACAGAACTCAAAGATAATAAGGAAGGCTGATGCCAGTCTGGGAACACACTGGAAATAAAGATATAAGGCCAAGCTCCAACCTCATATACATGACTCACCTTGCTGTTGCATCTCAAAATACCTGCTGCTATGCTAGTCTGAACACAGTAATGGTATTTTTCAGACATACATTTAACATATTTGGGATTAGAATGTGGCTTGAAGTTCAGGAGCTATTGCTGTACGTCCCCTAGTTATTAACATGGAAGTTGAATTTTGGGATCTTTCCTTTCTCAGCTCCCATAAACACCTTAATTCATACCATTCCCTGCAGCAGCACACAAAGATATAGATTTAGTCTTCATTGGAAATTTGCCAAGTCCAAACAATGTCACCAAATTTTACACCAGTGAAGGTGATTTGTGGCTTACTCCAATCTGAACCAAGGACAAGTTGCACCAGTCCAAAGCCCAGCTTTCCTTGTCTTTATTTAGGGTTTTCTGTTGGTGCAGCTATAGCTGTGACTTTCCAGTGGGTAACTCTACCTCTACAGAAAAAAAAGTCTATTAGGAAAAGCTAGAAAGATTCAAGAAAAAAGTACATTTATATGGCAGCTTCAGTGAATAGATCTTAAAGTGTTATTCAGAAAATTAACAAACATTGCCTCAAAATTATTGAAAGTATTATTCATATTATACAGATGAAAAAACTGAGGTGCAAAGAGGTTAAGAGGCATGTCCAAGATGTAACAGAGCTGGTATAATGTCTCAGATCTCCTGACTCCCAGTCCTCCCAATACTGCTTTCTCCCTCCCTTTTACCTTACAGTATGGGCATCAATAATGAATATATTTATATTATCTGGTAATTAAAATTACTTTCCCTAGTCAGAGAGTATGGCCTTTTCTCCCCTTTACTCTCCATCTGCTCATCTGGAGTAATAGGCAGAAGAAAAGGAACAAACAGATAACAACTGTGCCCAACTCAAGCTTGGAAGATCAGTTGAGTTGGCTCATCACTGTGTTTTTAGTTCTTACTTACCATCAGTGATATTTTGTTGCACAGGCCAAATATTCACTTTGATAAAAATAGATTTTCAGCATTAATTCTCCAACAAATGAAACAAAATATTTTGCATCAGTTTGAAGGCAAATTAATTCAACAGTAATTGCTTGCATTCTGATATCTAAGAAAAACAAAAACAAACTTACAAATGATTTGGAACCATCTAGCTACGCATTTGGTTAGTATATGTGACTACACAATGTTATTACTCTCTCTTCTCTTTCCCCTTGTTTGTTGTCCTGCACTTATTATGTGCTGAAGTAATTTAAGCCCTGACCCTGAAATAATTTAATGTGCAATATACTTATATAGGAAATATGAATTTTCTTGATTCTATGCACTTGCTGACTCCAACAGGAATGCACACAAGCGATGAAATCAAGCCTCTTGCGTGAGGCCTCATCTAAACAAAAACTGATTTAATTAAATCATGTTCCTGTATTCACATTCTATGGGGAGAAGCACATGAACACCAGGGGTTTTCAACCTTTTTTAGTAAGTGTACCTTACGGTGAGCGGCTGGATGCCAAGCAGGGGGGAGAGGGAGTGGCGAGTGGCCAGATGCAGAATGGGGGCATGGCAAGTGGCAGCAGCACGGCATCTGTGCAGCCCGGCTCTTGCCCGCTCCCCCTATGATGCAGTGGCATGGGGTGGCGGTGCTCCATCCCCACTCACCTCTGCATACCCCCTGGGACCTTTCAAAGCATCCCCAGGGGTATGAATACCCCCAGCTGACAACCGCTGAGTTAGCATGAGATAAGCTAAGGAGTAAATTTACAGTCCATCAACTTCAAGGAAGATGTGGGCAGTTGAGAAAGAGTGAAGAGTAGTGCAACAAAAATGAGTAGAGACCTGGGAAAAATGACTTGAAAGGCTGAAAGAACTAGGATTGTTTAAGTTCAGTGAAGAGAAGGTGATGGGGGATTTTTCTGTTCATTGAGCCAAAAAATTCTAAAAAGCACAGAAATATTTTGAATTTTTGATGCTCTGAAAAACCCACAAAAACAATTTGTCATAACCTAAAATGTTTAAGCCAAAATGAAGTGTTTTGAGTTATTTAATCCTCTGTCTCCAAGCTTGGTGAATTCCTAAGTGAAAAATGAGGTTTCAAAGTGAAAAGTAAAAAATTTCAATTTGAAAAGCCTGAACTGATATATTTTATTTCCAAATCCCTCTTCCCTTTTTAGTTGACAATATTTGCCCTGATCAACCTAATTTCCTTTGGGACACCTATTTTAGGTAAATTTATTTTTCATTGGAAAAAAAAAAAAAAAGAAAAAAAAATCACTCAGCTGTATTTAAATTGAAATATAATAAATATTGTTCCTTACAACATATTAAAAAAGAAATCATTCAGAATTGGATGCTTGAATATTTGTACTGGATAGCTTATAACAAAAGAGATAATTATGGCTATTGTGTTACAGGTCAAAAAATTATCTCCATTATGTTGCAATTTGTTATAATCACGGTAAAGCTATCATTAAATCAAGGTGATTTAATTTGATAGATTTGTTAATAAGCATTAGCTCCACCAAAAGAATATGCTATACCAGAATTTCTGAGTATTAACAGATGGCAGTGACTGTAGTGCCAGATGCTGTTAGCATAGCAGCAACTACTAGTGCCACTATAATTACAAACCAATTTCTAAGAGGCTTCTGAACTTAATTTTAAGCATTCTCTTCCTGTATGACCATGGAAAAGCTCAGATAGGACACTTTCCTCTCATGCCAAGCTTTATAAAAATTGTTTTAGGAACGGCATGAGTCAAAAAATGTTGTATTAATTCAGCATCTAATCCTGATAATGCTAATTTCTAAACAAAGTGCTTATTAACATGAGTGGCCCCACTATCTTACATAGGACTATGCCTGTGAAGGCTTCTTCTGTGCCTGAAGGGCCTGAGTCATGAACTGGTAACAGAAAGGCTGGCAGTTCAAGTGATCTTAAGTCTCAATTTAAGATCAAGACAACCGCCACACCAAGAAGCAGCGAGGGGTGGTGGTGGTTGGAGACTCCCTTCTGTGCGGGACAGAGGAAGCCATCTGCCAACCTGATCTTTTGTCTCCAGGAGTCCGCTGCCTGCCCACAGCCCGGATCTGAGATGTTGCAGAGGGATTACAGAGACTCATCCAGGCCTCTGACTACTACCTCATGTGGGCAACAATGATACTGCCAGGGGAGACCGTGAGTGGATCAGAAGCGACTACAGGGCTCTGGGTGCAAGGGTGAAGAGCTCTGGGGCTCAGGTCGTGTTTTCTTTGATACTTCCAGTCCAGGGAAAGGACCTAGGCAGGAACAGGTGCATCCTGCAGATCAATACCTGGCTGTGCAGGTGGTGTTGCCAGCAGGGATTTAGCTTCTTCCACCATGAGATGTTGTTCCAAACAGAAGGACTGCTGAGAATAGATGGAACCCACCTGACGAAAAGAGGGAAGAGCATTTTTGCAGACAGGGCTTTTAACTAGGTTCACTGGGGAATGGAGACCTGGAGGAAAAGCAAGCAGGAAGGGGGGCAACAGGAGAGGTGTTCTCATACATCCTGAGAAATCAGGACAATTGACTAGTTACCTCAGGTGCCTATACACAAATGCACGGAGCCTGGGAAACAAGCAGGAAGACTTGGAAGTCCTTGTACAGTCATGGAGCTATGACATGATTGGAATAACAGACTTGGTGGGATAGCTCACATGACTAGAGCACTGTCATGGATGGGTACAAACTGGCAGGAGAGAAGAGGAGGAGCTGCACTTTAAAAGAGCCATACAGTTCCTCAGAGCTCCAGTATGAAACTGGAGATAGGCCTGTTGAAAGTCTCTGGGTTAAGGTTAGAGGGGAGAGCAACAAGGGTGATGTTGTAGTAGGTGTCTGCTGTAGGCCATCAGAACAGGAGGAAGTGGTGGATGAAGTTTTCTTCAAACAGCTAGTACATGCTTTCCAATCACAAGTCCTGGTTCCCATGGGGGACTTCAAATCACCATGACATCTGCTGGGAAGGCAATACAGCTGTGTGCAGACAATCCAGGAAGTTTTTGGAGAGTACTGGGGACAAGTTCCTGGTGCAAGTGCAGGAGAGGCCAAGTAGGGGCTGTGCTCTCCTTGACCTGCTGCTCACAAACAGGGAAGAATTAGTGGGGAATGTAGTAGTGGATGGGAACTTGGGCAGCAATGACCACGAGATGATTGAGTTCAGGATCCTGAGGAATTGAAGGATGGAGAGCAGCAGAGTAAGGACCCTGAACTTCAGAAAAGCAGACTTGGACTTGCTCAGGAAACTCATAGACAGGATCCCCTGGGAAGCCAATCTGAGGAGGAGTGGAGCCTAGGATTGCTCGCTGTACTTGAAAGAAACCTTACTGGGAGTGTGGGAACAAACCATGCCAATACACAGGAAGACTGGCAAATATGGCAGAAGACCAGGTTGGCTTAGCAGGGAACTCTTCAGTAAACTAAGTCACCAAAAAAGAAACTTGTAAGTGGAAACTTGGACATATAAATAGGGAGGAGTATAAGAGCATTGCTTGAGCAAGCAGGGATGAAGTCAGGAAGGCCAAAGTGCAATCGCAGTTGCAGGTAGCAAGGGACATGAAGCGTAACAAGAAGAGTTTCTACAAGTATGTCAGTAGCAAGAGGAGAATCAGGGAAAGTGTGGATCCATTACTGAACAGGAGAGGTAAGCCAGTGACAGAGGATGAAGAAAAGGCTGAAGTGCTCAGTGCCTTCTTTGCCTCAGTCTTCACAGGCAAGGCCAGCTCCCAGACTACTGCACTAGGCAGCACAGTTTGGGGAGAAGGTGGGCAGCCAACTGTGGCAAAATAACAGGTTAGGGATTATTTAGAAAAGCTGGACAGATAAAAGTCAATACGGCCAGACTGGCTGCACCTGAGGGTGCTGTGCAAACCGGGGGTTGAGATTGCAGAGCCACTGGCCATCATCTTTGAAGACTCAAAGGAATCAGAAGAGGTCCTGGATGATTGGAAAAGGGCAAACATAGTACCCATATTTAAGAAAGGGAAAAAGGAGGATCCAGGGAATTACAGACCAATTAGCCTCGCCTCAGTCCCTGGAAAAATCATGGAGCAGATCCTCAAGGAACCCAGTTCTAAGCACCTGGAGGAGAGGATGATTAGGTACAGTCAGCATGGATTCAACAAGGGTAAGTCATGCCTGACCAACCTGATTGCCTTCTACAATGTGATAACTGGCTCTGTGGATACAGGGAGACCAGGGGATACAGTATACCTTGACTTCAGCAAGGCTTTTGATACAGTCCCTGACAACACTCTTGCAAGTAAGCCAAGGAAGTATGAGTAGGATGAATGCACTGTAAGGTGGACAGAAAACTGGCTGGAGCATCAGGCTCAGAAAGTAGTGATCAATGGCTCAATATCTAGTTGGCAGCCAGTATCAAGTGGAGTGCCCCGGGGTCGGTCATGGGGCCGGTTTTGTTCAATGTCTTCACTTACCTGGAAGATGGCGTACAGTGCACCATCAGCAAGTTTGCAGGTGACACCAAGCTGGGAGGAGTAGTAGATACAGTGGAAGGTAGGGACTAGGATTCAGAGTGACCTAGACAAATTGGAGGATTGGGCAGAAAGAAATCTCATGAGCTTCAATAAGGACAAGTGCAAAGTTCTACACTTAACATGGACTAATCCCATACATCAGTACAGGCTGGGGGCTGACTGGCTGGGCAGCAGCTCTGCAGAAAAGGACCTGGGAGTTACAGTGGACAATAGCTGAATATGCGCCAACAGTATGCCCTTGTTCAAAGGCAGCTAAACGGCATACTGGGTTGCATTGGTAGGAGTGTTGCCAGCAGGTCAAGGGACGTGATTATTCCTCTCTATTCAGCACTGCTGAGGCCACATCTAGAGCAGCATTTCCCAACCTTTCAGTTCTGGCAGCACACTTACTGGGCCTCTCTCATCCCACAGCACACCGGCTGAATGCGGAGCAGGGAACGGGGGAAGGGAATGGTGAGCAGCCAGGTGCAGACCAGCAGGGTGCGGGTAGAGAGCGGCCGGATGCGGAGCGAGGGCGGGTGGCGATGGTGGATGCAAATCACTGGCTGGAGTCACACCCTCC